TCATGCTTCTCTCTAGTAGGCACCCAGGTCCTGCCTCCCAGACCCAGGGAGGGAGGTTTATCTCAGACATCCTTGTCACAGTTTACCTTAGCACCCTACGCCAGCTGGCATGACGGAGGGAGTCAGCAGCTGGCAGAGCAGGGAACGAGTGCAAAACTGATGTCGGCCCAACTTCCAGGGGACACCTGTGTGCTTGAGTGACACAGGCAGGACCCCCCCCCAGACTGTCAATGCTGGAGGCTCTTTGAGGTCATCTAACTGAGCCCTCCCATTCTGCGGACGGGAAACCCGAGACCCAGGGACGGAAGCAGGCTGTCCAAAGTCCCACTGCACAGTCAGAGCTAGGGTCCAGGCCTCCGGGCTCCTGGGCTGCTTTTCTCTCCACACACAGATCTGGCTTCAGAGCTGAGCCCTGCTGCTCCCCTAGCTATGACCCCTCAAGCAAGTTAACTAACCTTGCAGTTTCGTCATCAGAACTTGGAGATATCAAGACTTCCCCTGCGGGGTTGTTGTGGGGGATTAAATGAGATAACGTGTGTCAAGTGACCCTATAGGTAAATGCCTGGCAGGTAGTTAGTAGTAATTATCACCATTCTCCCCCTACGGGGCATTTCTCAGGTTGGCCAGGAAGGCAGGAACACACCTGGGCTTAATTGGGTTTAGAGCAAACGCTGATTAAAAACAGTAATCTTTGCTCTGCATTATAGACCAGTAGTGTGTTCTTTTGGGTACCAAATAAAATGAAAAAAATATTGATAGCCATGTGTGTGTAGTTTTGCACGAGTGGGATAATTTTTTTCTTTGAGGAAGACTGGCCCTGAGCTAACATCTGTGTCCATCTTCCTCTAGTTTATATGTGGGACGCCTGCCACAGCATGGCTTGATAAGTGGTGTGTAGGTCTGCACCCAGATCTGAACCGGCGAAGCCTGGGCTGTGGAAGTGGAATCCACAAACTTAACCACCACACCACTGGGCCGGCCCCGTGGGTGGGATGATTTTGACCACGCAGAAGGCCTTTCCCATTCACAAAGGGACGCGTGGCAGGATTCCTTTACGTCACCAGTTCCTCTTGGGGCTCTCACTCAGGAGGCACTTCCCTAGCATGATTCACCCCAACTTTCCAGGAAAAGACCCCCTGCTCCCCATGGTCTTGTCACCACTGGCCTTCTTGCAAGATTTTGAGCTGAAGCAGCAGATTCCTGGAATGGGAACGATGCAGCCACTATAGACTATAAGACGGGCCATGATTTTAGGTGCCCCCAAGAAAGGAAAAGCACTGCCAATTGTAGCTGTGAGGTGCCATTGCTTGGGAAAGGAATTTCGGTTTCAAAAACATTACCATGTGACAAAAATAGGAATCCTAGAATCAATGAAATGCGGTGTTTGAGGACCAGGGTCAGCTGGATAGGTTAGTACCAATGGCAGAGGGAGAACATAGACATGGGGGCCCATCCCCAAATTCTACTAGCCTTAACATTATTTAATTATTATTTTTTCTTTGTGAAAGAAACCACTAATATGTAGGCTCTGTAACGAAAGACACTGGGCTCTGTTTTGTTCACCACTGTATCCCCACCACTTCCCTCATAGTAGGCATTCAGCAGATATTTGCTGAATGGATAAATAAAACAAAGCCACGTTCTAAAACACGTAGAAAACCCAGAAAAGAAAGTGAATCATTCATAATTCCCCCACTGTGGGTATTTTGGCTTATTTCCTTTGAGTCTTATTTCCTATGGATATGCTCTTTTATATACATGTAAACATAATGTATTATTAGATTTAGCTCCGGGATGTGTTTTTGTATTTCTCTATTAATATAAATGAAATGATGAAATGAGATGATGCGGAAATGCTTTTAAGATGGTAAAATGTTTAACCAAATATCTTATTATTAGTTATAATAATCATAGCAATACTGATATGAATGAGGCTGACTTTCTGAGAATATACTTCAAAGCAAACGACGAAGTTGCCCTCTGAAGCTGAGAATATGTTCTGCTCCTGCTCACCATGGGGAGTCCCTCTGATTCCTAGTGGGAAGATAAAGAGATTTAAGGGCTCTTAGAAATCACCAGTTCCAACTTCCCATCCAGCCCAGAAATTTCCTCAGTGTCACTAAAGGAGGGAAAGCAGAGATGGGGGAGGAATGAGCACTTCTCTCCGGCCGATGACAAACAGCAATCTACAAAGAACTTCCTTCTTTCCACCCTTCGCTAGCAGTGAAATGAAGTTACACAGTGGGTTTCAAAGAACGCTGTTCATTCTGCAGACAAACAGCAATGTGGACGCCAGAGATGGCAACACAGGTCAGTCAGTCCTGATAGGTGTGGCAGCTACATTCAATAAGCCACAAAGTCAGATTTGGCTTGGATGGCTAGTCAAAAATTCACCTTTAGATATGAATGCAAACTGGTGCAGCTACTATGGAAAACAGTATGGAGGTTTCTCAAAAAATTAAAAATAGAAATACCATATGATCCTGGTATCCCACTACTGGGTATTTATCCAAAGAACGTGAAATCAATAATTCAAAAAGATTTATGGTCCCCTATGTTCATTGCACCATTACTCACAATAGCCAAGACACAGGAGCAACCCAAGTCCCCATCAGTGGATGGGGATGAGTGGATAAAGAAGATATGGTACATATATACAATGGAATACTACTCAGCCATAAAAAAGACAGAATTGTGCCATTTGTGGCAACACGGATGGACCTTGAGGGTATTATGCCAAGTGAAATAAGTCAGACAGAGAAAGACAAATACCATACAATTTCACTCATGTTGAAGATAAACAAAGAAACACACGGATAAGGAGAACAGATTGCTGGTTACCAGAGGGGAACGGGGGAGGAGTGAGGGCTAAAGGGGTAAAGGGGCACACGTGTATGGAGACAGATAAAAACTAGACTACTGGTGGAGAGCACAATGCAGTCTATGCAGAAGCTGAAATATAATAATGTACACCTGAAATTTACAGTCTTATAAGCCAATAAGATCTCAACAAAAGAATTAAAAACAAACAACAATTCACGTTTAGATAGTCAAGAATTCAGGTACAAGCTCATTAGTCTAACCCATGCCTGGATCTTTGAAGGGAGGAGGGGTTACTCGTACAAAACGCCGAAGGGAGGACTGAAGAGTTTCTCTCCTTGACCAAACTCCAGCCAGGCCCCTCTGAGCCTTCTTCTCAACTAGGCCTCAATAGTGGCCTATAAGCTTGAACAAACACTGTTGTAGTTTCTAACAGCTCAAAGCTGCACCCCTAGGATGACCCTGGCCCCTTAAAGTCCCTGCCTGAGAAAACTCAAGGCTGCCAAAAGAATTTACTATTTGTTCCTGCCAACACCTGAAGATAAGGTCTCCGCCTCCCCGTCTCTGTGGGAAGGTAGGAGCCTAACTTCGGGAAGCGCCAGTCAGCAAACTGTTTCACATGGTTTCACAGGGTTTCACATGGACCAATCCCTTCTTCCCACCTGTAATTTTTCACTTCCTTGACTCTGCTCAAGCCCGCTTTGTTCCCTGTCCTTCATTTTTTCTTTGAAATGCCTACTCACCTCTGTACAAACAGCAGCTGAGTTCAGCTCAGGCTGAATCCTCCACCCAGTTGCAATGGTGTATTACTAATTAAAACCTGTCCTTGCCACTTTCACCAGCGTCCAGCTTTGTTTAGCTCTGACAGCACCCCAAGACTGGCTACGACACCTTGGCTAATAGCTCAGGCTCTGGCTCACCCAGACTGCCTCTCTCTTTGCACGCCTTCACCTGCTAGTCTGCGTTCTCACTCTTCCTGACTCGAATCCTTAGCCCTGAACCTGGCTCCCTGTCATCTACTTTGTGCCTTCCTTCTTCGTCCTTAAAGATGAGGTCTTCTGGTTACACTGCTTGGGTCCCACCTTGCACACCTTTGCTTACTCCACTTCCACTCACCCTGTCTCCTCAGTCTCTGGGGCCCGTAGAGGCCGGGCCAACCTCCCAGCCTCCTCTGCCCTTGCCTCAAAGCTGCTACGTGCTGCCACCCGCTACGTGCTGCAGCGGAGGCTGATCTTGGCCGGTAGCCACTGCTGGGGCATTAAGCACAGGGCCCAGGTCCTGAGGCCTGCACCATCAATGCTTTCCCAGAGATTAAAAAATACAGCTCGCTTACAGATTTAAAACCAGTTTCTAATGCAGAATATTATTTTATAATGGCTAAACAGGTGTGATCAGTACTAGATGAAAGAGGACATTTGAGCCAAATTTTAAAAACAAGCTGAGCTCGTAAGTTCCACGTGTATCTCCCTGCTGACTCTTCCTCCACTGTTCTCCCTGATTCTTCCCTTCTCACCCTGAGAGCCGAGAGCTGGTGCCTCCTACCGCTCACTGACCTGACTCATGTCAGACGTGAGGCTGGGCCAGTCCTCACCCCATGGACATGCAGAGTTGACACAGCAGTCCTGGCTGGCTGGGAGAGTGCCTTCTCTGGTGCGAAATCAGAGAGAGGAGGCAGCAGCCGAGGCTAGAGGTCTCCCTCCACTTGAGCTCTATTACAAGACTGAAGTCCCCATTCCTCTTCCTTTCTGCAGGCCACTTTGCATTGTATTCACACAAGTGATGAAACGTCAAACCCTGGTTAGCAGTTTCCCTGAGCATCCACTGTCCCCTGACACCCAGCCTCCCCCTCTGAAAGAATTTCCCCCCCCGAAAGAATTTCCCCCCCAGAATGTTCTGGAAAAAACCCTCCAACCAATTCAACGAAAAATAAAATAAGCTGGGTTTCCCTCACACCCAATTTTAGGAACTAACAGGGGGTACAGGAGAATGGGCTTATGAAGGTTAGCAGACTCCTGTCTCCAGTTTCAGGGTGAGCCCCTTTCCTGAGCCCAGCCCTGCTCCAGCCTGTTAGGTGGATTCAGAGCCTTCCAGGAGTGGGAATGCCATTTCTCCTCCTTGTGCCTCTGCAGGTGACTGGGATAGGCCAAGGAGCACTGATCCGGGGAGCCCAGGGAACTTACCCTCTGCTCCTGTGTGGCCACGAAAGTCTGGAACCCTGGAGCCACCCCAAAGCCCAGCTCTTGGATGAAAGGTGGCTCGGACTGACTGTGGATCTGAACTTTCACTCCTGCTTCAAACGTCGTTTCCTCTGAAAGAACAAAGATGGACAGAGGCACGGGTCAGCGACAACAGGTGCTCACGGAATCCTGGGACTGAAAAGCTGGAAGGGACACTAGAAAGGCCAAGTGGAGGGCAGAATAATGGCCCCCAAACTGTCCACATCCTCATTCCTGGAAACGGTGACTATGTTACCTTAGGTGGCAAAAGGGACACTGCAGCTGTGATTAAGTTAGGGATCTCGAGATGGGGAGATTATCTTTGACTATGCAGTATAATCACAATGGTCCTTATAAGAGGGAGGCACGAGGGTCAGAGTCAGAGAGAGAACGGAAAAATGCTTTGCTTTTGGCTTTGAAGATGGAGGAAGGAGTCACAAGCCAAGGGATGTAAGTATTTTCCAGCAACTAGTAAAGACAAAGGCAATGGATTTCCCCCTAGAGCCTCTAGAAGGAACACAGCCCCCCTAAAACCTAGATTTTACCCTAGTGAAACCGACTTTGGACTTCTGGCCTTCAGAACTGTACCATAGTGAAATTGCATTGTTTGAAGCCACTAGGTTTGTGGTGATCTGTTATAGTAGCAATCAGAAGCTAATTCAGATCAGTTAGGCCAATTTCCTGCTTCAGCCTCCAAAACTGTAGAATGGGATTAGAAAGTGAGTCCAGCACCTTTATTTTATTTACTAACTTCTCTGCTGGACCATGAGCTGAAGGCGAGGAGAACAGGAGGAGGAAAACAGGATGACACAGCAGTAGAAAGAAAAGCACAGGGCTTGCCTGTGTGCCACGGTGCCCGCCCCTTGGATCTGCAGGAGATGGGCAATTAGGAGAGCAGCTTCTGCCTTTTTTCTTTGGCAGGAGAAAAGGCCCTTGGCAGTGGGAGGTGGCAGGGGTGGCAGAAGGTGGTGGGAAAGCAGAGCCTGGCTCCTCCTGTATGTTGGTGTTCAAAATTGCTGGAGAGTGCGCCTATGGGATATATCAGCCTTTGCTGGGGCTCCTTCTCTGTCTTACTCTTTCCAAATAGCCTGCAGAACGAGCTTTCCAAAATGCAAAGCTGTGTCACTCTCTCCTGTGCTTATGAGAAGCCCAGTCTCCTTAACCTGCTCCTGTTCCAGCCTTGCCCTGGGCAGCCCTCTGCTTCGTGGCACCACGCGGTCCAACCCTCCAGGGCTGCCCAGACTGGTTGTTACTCGTCCCTGCTCTGCATGGATGCACATGCATCTCTGTATGCCTGGAACGTCTTTCTACCTTGTCCACCTCACCATCTCCCTACTCATCACTGAAGATTCAACCCCAGCCCCACCCAAAGCAACTCCTTCTCTTGCTCTGATGTATTCTTCACATATTCCTGATAAAGCCTCTGCCACACCATGTAATAAACCTTTATCTGACGGTCTCTTCCATCAAGCTGGAGCGTCCTGAGGCCAAGTTCTGGACCTTCTCTATGGATCTCAGATGTCCCTGCGAGGGCCAGGCACATAGCAGGTACCTAGGGAACCCCTGCTGAATGAACAAATGAGAGATTTGTGACTCATACCTCACTCACTTATGATTGGCAAGGCCAACCTAGAGTCTAAATCAAGGAGTGTCCTAAAAGCAGAAAATGGGGAGAAGATGGGTAAATGCAGAAATGAAGGAAGATGGAGGTGGGGGGAGAAATGGAGGTCAGAGGTCAGAGAGGGAGGGATGTGTCAGCACTGGGGCCATAGCCTGGGAGAGTCTGGGGACACACACTGAAGCTGGCACAGAAGAGAAAGGCAAGGAAGGAAGGGTTGGGGCCAAGCATGGGAATGGGCAGGACCCACGGACAGCCTGGGACCAGTGACCAAGCGGAGGAAGGGGGTCCGGAGCTGGATGAGAATTCCCAGGTCGGGGGTACATGGAGAGAAAGGTTTAGTAGTAGACAGGGACCCGAGGGAAGGATAGGCAGGGCTTTCAAAGTCTAGATGAGCAGTCAGTGGCTGACACGGGGTTCAGGCAAAAGAGAGCCTTGGCCGAGAGCCCTTCCATCCTGTGTCTTCATGGAGCAGGCGAGAATCCCCGGCCATCCACGAACACATCCCCCTTCCATCCAGCAGTCAACCATTCTGTGATCTCTCTACCCAGATCACTCCGTCCAAACGCCTGCCCACACGTCCCTCTGTGCCTGTGGTTTTGTGTACCTCTCTCCCATAGGTGGTGAATGCCTCAAGAGGAGAGTGCTCCCTACTCATCCCAGAGCCCACTGCCTGGCCTTGGGTCTGACGGGCAGAGGAGAAGGGAAGCAGTCAGCTTTTAGTGGCTGTGTTCCTAAGGCCTGCCCAAAAGAGGGGCTGAGGAGAGGCCGGGGAGCCGGAAGAGCAGGCTCTGATGGGGAGAGGCGTGAACGGGGAGCGATGTTGGGATTACGAGGATGTGTGTGTTGGAATGAACTGAAAGCATGTTCCATGAGCTGCGGGGCAGAACGGGAGAGATGCCAACACTTGTTTTCCAGAGCTAGCTGAAGCTGCGTGCCTGCTACATAGCTGAGCTTAAGAAACCTTGGAGCCAGTAAGACAGGCTCAAAGGAGGGGTCCTGTGGCTTACGGGGAGAAATGAAAAATGAAGCCTTTCTGTCAGAAATGCTGCGAGTAACAGGCAAAGCAGAGAGGCCAGGCGTGCGTGCATTAGGGAGAGCCGCCTGAGGCTGATCAGACTGGGTGGGATTCGGAAGGGGAGATTATTCCAGAAGCAGCAGGAACGGGGGCAGAGTAAAATCCTAAAGTAGCGTCATATCTCTACAAACATCAATGACTGAATGCAAAGAGCGAAAGAAGGTGCTGGATAATGTTTCTGTTCTCTTTGGAACCAGCACTGTCCAGTGGAACTTTCTGCCAAGATGGAACATTCTATAATCCGTACTATCATATGGTAGCCACTAGCCACATGAAGGGTGACTAATGCAACCGAGGAACTGAGATTTTAATTAGTTAACTACTTAATCCCCCCAACCAGCTTCACTGAAGTATAATTGACAAATAAGACTGTAAGGTATTTAAAGCACACCACACGATGATTTGATGTATGTATACACCGTGGAAGGATTTCCCCCACCGAATTAATTAGCACATCCATCACGCCACATATTTATCTTTTTTTCCTTGCTTTACTTATTTTTAATTTAATTTAAATTTAATTCCTTACCTTCCATTTAAATAGGCACATGTGGTTAGTGACAACCTGGTGTCCAGCCAGGGCAGTGTAGCTGTAGAATGTCACCTGTGAGCAGTGCCCAGCCCTCTCAGAGCAGCGGGGAGGAGAGGACGCCACCACCATGCTCTCCTAAGCAGGTACCCCTGTGGGTCTCTCGTCTGGAGGTGGTGGGTGACTGGGCGGGGTTCTGAGCAGCAGGACTGGGCGCCTTCATGGCCAGCCCACGACTGTGGCCCCATGTCCTCTGTGGCCCTGCTTTTCACAAGGCACCACTTCCTCTAGCATCTCCAGGGAGAGTTTGTTTCTCTTCCTTCCTAGAAATGCCCTTGGCTTCCCTCCAGGCTTGTTCTCCAGTTTGACAGTGAACCACAGCCCCCTGCAGTGTCTGCCCCACATCCACTCTCAGTCTCCCACATTTCCTGACGCTGTCAGTGCAAATATGAAGACCTGATTAAGAGCTGGAGTTATCCAACACGGACCATTAGAGCCAAAGGCTCAGACTAGGTACCTCAGAGGTTCTCAAACTTGAATGCACACTGAGCTCACCCTGGGAGCTCCGGGCGATGATTCTGTGGACCAGCGCCTAGAAATTCCGATTCGGTCATGCCAGGCTGGAGCCGAGGAATCTGCATTTCCGGGGATTCTGATATAGGTTATCTGGAGTCAACCACATTTGGGCAAGCAGACATCTAGTCCAGAAAGGGGAAGCAACTTGCCCGAGGTCACACAGCATGTCAGGAGTATAGCAGTGGGTAGAGCCAGGTCTCCTGACTTTCAATTCAGCAATCTTTCTACTCCACTAGGGGTGTGGTTTACTTTGTGTGAGCAGACACCCTGGTTCACAGGTCGAGAGTTCTGAGTCGGGGTTGGAGAAAGAGAATATCCCTTCATTGTCTTATCCCCAAAGCCCCTAGCACGGTACCTGGGACAGTGCTCAATGATTGTCAAATGATGTCAATGCGTGAAGAAGTGTCCTCTGCCGAGTCTGTTCCCTACCCTTGGACCAGCTATGAGTGTGCCCAGGGTCTGGTTGGACACCAGGAAACACCCGCAGTGCATGCTGCCCAGCAACTAGCTTCCTCCACTCAGGAGGTCTCATCCACTGAAATGCAGGTGGGCTGCACACAAAGCAACAGCAACAGCAGCAACAGAAGAATAACAGTAACTGGGACCACCCATACCATTTTCGGGTCCCGGTGCAAAATGAAAACGTGGGGCCTCATTAAAAAACTATGAAGAATTTCAAGACAGCAGTAGCAGAGCATTAAAGCAAGAGTGTGGCCCTTCTGAGCACCGGGGTCTGTGTGACTGCACAGGTCGCACAGCTGGGAAGCCAGTTCTGCCAATCACCCAGATGGGTGCTGGACGGGATTGTCCACATCCTCATTGTCCTCTCACCACTGAATGATTCAACATTGCACTGCTTCAAACAGCGCAGGCCCCTAGTGCAGTGAAGGATTTGTTTATACATCACGAACACCACACAGGATTCAAAGCCCCAGGGAGAGGGAGAGAGAGAGAGCACAGAGAGAGGGAAGTTCTTACACACGGTGTTAGGAGCCCTTGCTAATTGAGACCAAGCTGAAACCCAGACAGCTTAACAAGAAAGATAATGTCGAATCAGGAGGAGGGTGGGAAACATGCTCAAGCTGCAGAATCTGGAATTTCCCAGCACTTTTCAGGAGCACGGCCATGGCAGCGCAAGGTGAAGTCTACCTGAGGAGTGTTTTCTGTATCTGCAGAAGGATTTGGGAGCTCCGTGCGGGGAGACAGGGAGCGACGGGGAGAATGCATAACGGGGCAGGGAAAGTACATCGCAATAAAAGAAGCTTAGATCCTTAATCTTTGCAAATCACAG